TTTTTTTTTTTTTTTCTCTTTTTTTTTTTCTGTAGGTTGATAATTTGATTAACCAAAACCATATATTCAAGCGTAGCATTATACTTATAAAAGCTTGGTGTTACTATGAGAGTCGTATACTTGGTGCCCACCATGGACTTATCTCAACTTATGCACTAGAAACTCTGGTTCTTTACATATTTCATGTTTTCAACAATTCCTTTGCTGGACCTCTTGAGGTAGCAATATTTAAATGGTGTTATTTTATGTTTTTTTTTGGTGGTTGTGTTGACTAAGTGTTTTCTTTGCTTTTGTAGGTATTGTATAGATTTTTGGAGTTTTTTAGCAAGTTTGATTGGGATAATTTCTGTGTAAGCCTATGGGGTCCTGTACCCATTAGTTCACTCCCAGATGTGTCAGGTAGTTACAATCTGATTAAAGATTTTGTTTTTTTAATAATGATATAGATCCATCTTGCTTATTGTATTCTTCCTTCCCTTCAACATTTTTCACAGCTGAACCTCCTCGGAAAGATGGTGGAGATTTACTGCTCAGCAAAATATTTCTTGATTCCTGCAGCTCAGTTTATGCCGTTTTCCCTGGTGGCCAAGAAAATCAGGGGCAAGCATTTGCTTCCAAGCATTTCAATGTTATTGATCCTTTACGTGTCAACAATAACCTTGGGCGTAGTGTCAGCAAAGGTTTGTTGCACGCTGGAGATTTTCTTTTATTCTTTCCTACATATTTAACTTCACTGTGTTTATCTGATGAGAATTAGAATGAATGATGAAAATTATGCAAAAAAATTATGCATGCTGTGGAATATATAGCTGAAATCATTCTTTTATTGATATTAGTAGTTTATTAGTTTCGCTGGACCATCTGATTTGGTTATGGCTAATAATTGCATTTATGATGTGCATGAACCAGGAAATTTCTATAGAATACGCAGTGCTTTTTCATTTGGGGCCAAAAGGCTTGCTAGATTGCTTGATTGCCCAAAGGAGGACTTGTTTTTGGAAGTCAATCAGTTCTTCATGAACACTTGGGTCAGACATGGAACTGGGCAGCGACCTGATGCTCCAAGTAATGAATTGTGGCGTTTGAGGTTATCAAGTCATGACCAATTACAGGGGTCTGACAATATCCAAAAAAATAGCAAAAAAATTGATGATACCTATAGTCATGAATTTCAAGTAAAAGGGGTGCATGCTTCACAAAGTGTTCTATCTCAGCACTGTATTTTGTTCTCTGAAAGCTTATCTAAGAGTAATGATGCTTCTACACGATCACATTCTTATGCTTACCAAAATAATGCAAGGAATTATTATCAGGTCAAAAGGGAAGTTAATTGTAATCAAGGTGCTCATGTTGATAAAGGACCGAGAAATGTTAAACAAAATAACCCATTCAATGATGTTCCAGGAAGGCTTTTATTTGCAAGAACATGTTCTAGTCCTGAGTTGACAGACTCGTATGGTGAAGTTCCTACTGATGGAAGAAATACAAGAGCCCCAGAGGGTAGTAAAGGCCCAACTTCTTCTGCAAAGTTGGAGAATAGTCACAGGAAGCCTCTTGATTCTGACATGCCTGCTACTTATGGTGTTAGAATTGACGATTCATCCACTAGGCACATCATATCTCGTCAAGTTAATGATAGTGCGGATAATTCAAACAATGGCTCAAATAGTTATGATGATGATGAATCAGGCCATGGTGTCATGGGTGAAGCATTTGCATCTGTTGCTGGAGTAGCTAGAACACATATGACGCATCAAGAGGAGCAGGACCTTTTGAATATGATGACATCTTCCACAGCTCAAGGTTTCACTGGTCAGGCTCACATTCCAGTGAATTTAGCTCCAGGTCACCTACCACTTCCATTTTCACCTTCGATTCTTGCATCAATGGGATATGCTCAGAGAAACTTGGGTAACACTCCCTTGATTGAGGCTCCTTGGGTTACTAATATGCAATTTCCCCAAGGTTTAGTCTCTTCACCATATTTCCCTGGCATAGGATTGACTTCAAATCCTGAAGATTTAATTGAAACTGGTAACAAAAATTTCAACCCTGTTGAAACAAGTTTAGCAGAAGCTGATAACAATTTCTGGCATGAGCAAGAAAGGGCTTCTGCTAAGGGGGTTGAAGTTGATAATGGAAATTTTGAAATGCTTCCAGAAGATAAGCAACAGTCAACTTCTGGTGGTTATAACTTTATACCACCATCTCATGCTGACAGATCTAGTAATGCTGCTAGACTTCAGCAGACATTTACTGAAGAAAACCAAGGTTCAACCAGAGAGGAGCACATTGGTAGTCCACTGTATCAAGATGGCAGAGGAAATGGTGCTTATTTTGATGATAGAATAGCAAATCCTAGATTTCCCAGTGCACCACCTTCAAATTCCTTCAGGAATAAGACATCTTCTGAAAGCTCTTGGGAGGGATCGTCAGCTAAATCTTCAAAATCAACTAGGGAAAAAAGAGGGAAGAAGAATAATACTTCATCGGTGCCATCTGCTGTTTACGGAAAGGGCAATAATGATTCATATATCTCATCTAATCTAGTGGATGATGAAAACAGACGATGGACTCCTTTGTTAACTACAGCATCTGATATGTCCGAAAGAAGTGCTGGGCCTCTGGCTGTTGCTCCCATGCCTGTTCCAAGACAGCAAGTATCAGGTTTTGAAGTGGCTCCAACAAGCGGATCAGATTCTGTGTTACCCATGGCACCGGTGCTTATAGGTCATGGTTCTCGCCAAAGAACAGTTGATACTTCTGGGGTTGTTCCATTTGCATTCTATCCCACAGGACCACCAATACCATTTGTTACTATGCTTCCATTATATGATGTTCCTACATCAGCAAGCATCTTCAATGCGGAAGAAGATGCAGATAACAGTGACTGTCGTCAGAATTATGATCCATCTGAGGTGTATGACCAGCCTGAAGTGTTGAGCTCTTCCAGTTCTATGAGAAGAGCTTCTATTGACTCGTCAGAGCCCAAACCTGACATTCTTAATGGTGACTTTGTTAGCCATTGGCAAAATTTGCAGTATGGGCGATTTTGTCAAAATTCAAGCCATCCTCATTCAGTTATCTATCCTTCTTCTATTATGGTGCCTCCTGTTTATATGCAGGGTCATTTTCCATGGGATGGTCCTGGAAGACCACAGTCAGCTAATATGAATCTTCTCACTCAGCTCATGAGCTATGGGCCACACCTTGTACCTGTTGCTCCTCTCCATTCAGTTTCTAACAGACCAGCCAATATTTACCAACGTTTTGTAGAGGAAATACCACGGTATCGAAGTGGAACAGGAACCTACCTGCCAAATCCTGTAAGATAAATTTCTAAGTAATCTGGTACTTTATACTATGATTTGCTTTTACTTGCTGCGAATGAGATACAAATGCTAGTGCATGCCTGCCTTCTAAAATAAAGTAGTGGTTCTTTTTCTAAACCTATGGTCAGTGTCTAAGCTTATGGTCAGTCTGAAGTACTGCTGTTAGATTTTGTAGTATTTTACCTTCATTCCCAATTTATTTCAGAAGGTTTCTGTTCGGGATCGACATTCTACAAGTACCAGAAGAGGTAATCACAACTATGACAGAAGTGACCAACATGGTGACAGAGAAGGGAATTGGAATAATAATTCGAAGTTGCGAACAAGTGGGCGTAACCATAACCGCAATCAAACTGAGAAGTCTAGCTCAAGGCCAGAGAAGTTGGCAACAAGTGAGAGCCACGCTGAAAGACCATGGGGTTCACATAGACATGACTCTTTTGTTTCTCACCACAATCAGAATGGTCCTGTCCGGTTAAATTCCTCACAAAACAGTCCAGCAAATGTGGCTTATGGAATGTACCCTCTACCCGGCGTGCCCTCCAGTGGGATCTCATCAAATGGACCAACAATTCCACCTGTTGTAATGTTGTATCCTTATGATCATACCTCACCAGCGGAACAACTCGAGTTTGGAACTCTGGGACCTATGGGTTTGCCAGCTGTCAACGAACTATCACAGCTGAATGAGGGAAGCCAATCTGGTGGTGCATTTGAGGAGCAAAGGTTTAATGATGGTACTGCTCAGCAATCCTCACCAGATCAACCCTCTTCACCGAGGTAACTTTTTGTGTCTAAACCATCACTTTTATTTAGGAGAAAAACTAGATGGGTGTGGCAGCTTGCAACATTCAGCTATATTACTTTTAGGATAGTTAGTGTCCCAGTACCTAATCTTTTTATCCAGTCATTTTACCCATGTTTTCATTTAGTTCAAATTTCCAGGGTGATGAAGTTCCTTGTTTATTTCAATTTTTTGCAATTCACAATGGTTGTTATTATTAGTATACTTCAACTGGACTGCTTTATGATGTCTTAATTTTATGATTTTTTTAACAGGGGGCTTTGATTCTATCACCAGATCACTGGTCAGGTGGAAATATTAACTGAAAGAGGAGGATTAACTCCCCTTGCTTATCAAGACAACCAGGCAGGGAATGTAAGTGGGAAAAACTATGATGTGAAACCCGCCTATGTCAACACATTCTTTTTCTCACCTCCCTTGAAAGGACAGAACTTTTGGTCTTTACTGATTCTTTCTCAGGAATGCAATATTT